TTAACCAAGCTGGTCATGTAGTCCCTTCAAATTGCATATAAAGCCAGTAACAGGACACTTAAACATTAAGAGAGAAGCATAAAGCCATAGCCAGTTTGGTTCAGTGGATAGACCACTGGCCTGAGGACCAAAGGGTCTTGGGTTTGCTTTTGGTCAAGGACAACTACCTTGGTTGCAGACTCCTCCCTGGCCTGGATGCTGGTCAAGGCACAAGCAGGAAGCAACCAATTGATGTGTTTCTCTCACATTGAAATTTCTCTTTGTCTTTCCTACTCTCTTAAAAAAAAAAAAAAAAAATCAATGAAAAAATAACCTCTGGTGAGGAGGGAGGGAGGGAGGAAGGAAGGAAGGAAGGAAGGAAGGAAGGAAGGAAGGAAGGAAGGAAGGAAGGAAGGGAGGGAGGGAGGGAGGGAGGGAGGAATAGGTTCAACTCAACCCATCATTTTGTGAAGTCTTCCAGGACAAAATCACTTTACAGAATTATCATTGCTGCCTTTGTTCTCTAGAAAATAATCCCCACCCAAAACACCAGGATAATCTGCAATAGAATAATTTCCTATCTGCAAAGTCCCTTTGCCACATGTGACTGTAATTCAGATTCCAGGGATGAGGTTACCACCATCTTGGGGTAGGAGAGTGTCATCTATCTACTACACCCACTCTCTTGCCTCCCAATTAAAGCTCATAAAGTCTCAAAACTCATCTACATTAGGTATAATGAGGCTCTGGGTATAATACATTAACTACAATCCCTGGCGTACAATTCCTTAAAAAAAGTTATTTGCTCCCAACATGCAAGGAGGTTAGGGACAGAGCACCAGTTACAGACATTCTAGTCCGAACAAGGAAAATATAAAACAGATCCATTGGTCCAAAGCAGTTTTAAAATCTGAGCTAACTCATTCATTCCATTTCCAAACCAGAGAAAAATCCTGAGTGGCATTCAGCTCTCTGAGCCCTTGGTTCTACCCCCGCCCCCCTTTTTAAAAAAATGAAAACCAGTACTTTTATACCTGATTAGTTTTACCAGCCTGCTTTCTGCTAGCAGCATTTAGGGGGTTCACAGCCCTCTTTAATTTCCTACTCTCTCTCTTTCAAGCCAAGCTGTTTCTGCTAGTATACATCCTCAAGAATCTAGAAGGCTTTACATGAATTTCACAAAGGTTCACTCCACTAGTCAGACTCAGATCCACAAATAAACCAGGCTACACTTTCAAGACTTTTCCGTGGAAATCTCAACCAAATACCCACGTTTATCACATTAAGGAGTCTTTTCCACATAACCGCAGGACACGATTCTTAAGCATATTTGCCACTTTGTAACAAGGATCACTTTTCCTCCAGTCTCCAACTAATGCATATCCCACTTCCACCCGAGCCCTCACTAACAAAGGCATTACATGCATGTTTCTAGCAACAATCTGTTCTTCTAAGTCTTTCCTATCATATTCCTCAAAAATGTTCTGGCCGCCGGGACCGGTTTGGCTCAGTTTGGACCGGTTTGGATAGAGCGTCGGCTTGGAGACTGAAAGGTCCCAGGTTCGATTCCGGTAAAGGGCATGTACCTTGGTTGCGGGCATATCTCCAGTAGGGGGTGTGCAAGAGGCAGCTGATCAATGACTCTCTCATCGATGTTTCTAACTATCTCTCTCCCTTCCTCTCTGTATAAAATCAATAAAAAATATATTTTAAAAAAAAATGTTCTGTTCCTGGCTGGCGTGGCTTAGTGGATAGAGCGTCGGCCTGCAGACTGAAGGGTCCTGGGTTCGATTCTGATCAAGGGCACATGCCTGGGTTGCGGGTTTGATCCCAATGGGGGCATGCAAGAGGCAGCCAATCAATAATTCTCTCTGATCGTTGATGTTTCTATCTCTCCCTCTCCCTTCCTCTCGGAAGAAAGAGAGAGAGAGAGAGAGAGAAAGATAAGAGGGGAAAAATTTCTGGCCTCCACTGCCCCTTTCACATTTTTAGGTAACAGTCCCCCAACTCCTGGTACCAAAATCTATACTAGTGTGTGATTATTGCCATAACAAATTACCACAAACATAGTGGCTTAAAACAACAGAAATTTATTATCTCAGCTTCTGTAAGTCAGAAGTTGAGTGAACTTGGCTGTCTTCTGTTAGGATCTCACAAGGCCAAAATCAAGGTGTATTCCTTGGCAGAAACTCTGGGGAAGAGTCTATTTCAAAGTTCACGTAGAACTGTTAAGTTCAGTTCCTTGTGGCTGTACAACTGAGGTTTCCTTTTCCTTGCTGGCTGCCAGCCAGCACTGGTCTTTGCTACTAGAGGCCACCCACACCCCTTCCCATTGGTTACCAGTGGCTCCCTCTAGCAACAGCAAATGGAGTCCCTCTCAGGACTGAGATCAAAATCTCATGATTGAGATTTTGCTTCTGACCCATCTCTTTTTTAACTCCCAGCTACATAAAGTTTTCTGCTTTTAGACTGGGTTTACCCACAAAATCCAGGACAATCTATTTTAACCCTAATTACACCTGCGAAGTCCCCTTTACCATGTTACATATGTAATGATTCTGGGGATTAGAGAATGAACATCTTATTTGGGGAGGGGTCATTCTGTCTATTACAAACCCAAACCCCATGTAAGGCTTTACACTCAGTTCCTAAAGAAAATTTCTTTCTCCAAAGGAGTATGTAAAGGGGTATGTTCAGAGACAGAGACAGAGAACAGTAAATTCAAAGCCTCACCTTGAAGAGGGTGGCTAGATGACAGGAAAGCTTAAAAATACACCGTGGAAAAGAAAGTGCCACTTGTTTCACCCCAAATACAAGGGGATTAATGAACCCATTATGCAGAAGATAACAGTGCCCCTCCCCTCGCTGCAATGTGTGCTTCTCTTCTCTACTGTATTCAGTACAAAAGGGCATAAGGAGGCATACGTTGCCCTAGGGCTGTGGTTGGCAAACTGTGGCTCGAGAGCCACATGCGGCTCTTTGGCCCCTTGAGTGCGGCTCTTCCACAAAATACCGCAGCCTCGGCGAGTCTATTTTGTTTGAAGAAGTGGCGTTAGAAGTTTAAGTTAAAAAAATTTGACTCTCAAAAGAAATTTCAATCGTTGTACTGTTGATGTTTGGCTCTGTTGACTGAGTTGGCAGACCACTGCCCTAGGGTGACCTAACTTTGTAATCAGTTAATAAATCAATCTAAGGACACTTACAACCCTTTTGTTCCTTTTTCAAGTCATATACCCTCCTCCAACAGAAATGAAAATTCTTCTATTCCAAAGTCACAGAAGGACAAACTTCTGTGGTAAACTTCAGAAATATATATATGTACACACACACACACACACACACACACACACACTATTGATTTCAGAGAGGAAGGGAGAGGGAGAAATAGAATGATGAGAGAATCACTGATCGGCTGCCTCAAGCACGCCCCAAACTTGGGATTGAGCGCCCCCTGCGGGCATGTGCCCTGACGGGGACTCGAACCGTGACCTCCTGGTTCACTGCTTGCCACTCAACCACTGAGCTACGCAGGCTGGGCTGCGGGTGAACTTTTTAAAGTGACCTGCGGGAGATCTAGTATTGGTCCTGATCTTTCATCCCCAAGGTCCAACAAGCCAGTTAACAACCAGAAACATTGAAACAAAACATTGAAACAAAAACATTGCAGCAACTACAAAGGTACTATTCTGAAGCCTTCCCTACTGTTAAGATTCTTGACTATAAATTTTACTTGGAACCAAATATACCAGCCGGTCCCTTTTAATAATAGTCACAGTAAGATCTACCAGGTACTTACTGGCACTGTGGTAAGCACTTGACACAAGTTACCTTATTTACTCTTCGCCATAAACTTATGAGCTAGAGAATATTATCACCCCAATTTAAAGATAGAAAAGCCGAGGTTTACAACGGTTAGGTCACATGACGAAACTAAACGGTGGCAGCACTGTAACCAGTAGTCCCACGGATGCAGGCACCCAGGCAACCCCTTGGATGGGAGAGAAGGAACATATGAAGAAGAATCTTCCCTTTCTAGCTTTCTTTCCCTCTCCTCTCTTCCCACACACCTTCCTCACACAACTCAGCAGCTGAAGGGTAAGCAAGTCTTCTCAAATGAATGCCACCTCCTTTTCAGACCTCTTCCCTTCCCACAATAGCGATAGCCAAGAAGCCAACTTCTGACCCTGACTTTGCTTCCCAAAAACAAACTACAGAAGCTCCACCCATCACCTGCCTCGGCTAAAAATGTCCTAACGCCGGGGGAGGAGAGAGGGGGGGGGGGGCGGGCGGAGAGACGGGGACGAAATAAAAGTCCTACTCTTTCAAAAGGTCACAAACTAAGAGGTGTAGTCAGCCAGCCTTTCACTCTACTTCTGTCTCCTCTTCCACCCAACCACCCCTTTAACTCCGGCTCCTACCCGATCTGCCCCACTTCGTGGTCCTCTCCGTCTTCCTCCCCAACGGCGACCGCGCCCGGGGGGTCCCCCACCTTGCAGCCCAGCCTGCAGGTGCGAAGCCCAGCCTCGCCCACAGGGGCCCTGCGGCGGCCCCCCGGCCCCCCCAACTCCAGCTGCTCCGCTCCGCCGAGGGTTCACCCCGCCCTTCCCAGTAGGCACCACTCCCCGAGGCACCGGCCCCAGCATCCCCTGCGGCCCCACCCCTCAAGCTCCCTTCCCCCTGGGGGACCCCCCTCCTCCCAAGTTACCCCCTCGTCCCCGCCTCAAGGAAGTCCTCTTCCCCCGAAGAAGGCGGACTCCCGAAGCTAGCTCCCACCTTCACATCAGCCTCTGCTCCCCACATCTCAACCCCCCCAACCCCCTCCGCCCTGGGTTGGGGGTGGCCCCAGGCCTCCCCGGTGGGTTGCAGGCGCCGCGGCTGGTGTGTGTGTGTAGGGGGGGGCAGGGGCAGGCGAAGGGCACTCCGGAGTCCGCTGGGAGCACCAGGGGCGGCCGCGCCCCGGCTGCCCTATTCTGGGCCCCCCTCCCCCCCTCCACGGCCTCGCCTGGCGGCTCCCCCTGTACCTGTGGTGGAAGCGGCAGCGCCCGCGGCCGCGCTCCCCGCTCCTCACACAGACAATATGGCGGCGGCGGAGGAGGAGACACACACGGCTCGGCCGCCAGCCGCAGGGACCAGAGCGAGGCTGCTCCCGCCACTGCCGGAAGCGGAAACCCTCTCTGCCAGGAGATGGGGCGGGACTTTCGCAGGCCCCGCCCCCAGCGGAACCGCGCCGAGCGCCGCCATGCTGGGACGTGCTATTGTACCCTCGGGGTTCATTTCCGGGCTGGGGTGCAAAACGTGAGAAGTTCTCAAGGTAAAGCATAACGAAGAGACTTGCGGTAATTAAGCGCGTTTTCATTCAGTGCCTCTGAGACCTGACGAGAGGGACACCATGAACCTCCCCCCCCCAGGGATCCAATTGGTTTGGCCCAAGCTAAGATGGCGGCCCCTAGGCTTCCCGCACTTGCCCCGCGGACAAGCCCCGTCCATCTGCAAGCCGACCCCGCCTTTCTGGGGAAAGAAGCATGCGCGACCTGCAGAGCCGAGGAGCGGAGCATTTCGGAAGTTGAAGTCTTCTGCCCGGACCCCTCGTCTAGGATTAGGGCTCCAGTAAGACATTTTTGTCTGCTCAAACTTGGAGTCCGGAACTGGCGAGCAAAAGTTGGACCCCGGGAGTGGTGTGGCGCCGGAGTCGAGGAGGGGGCGATACTAGCCTTCTAGAGACTGAGACCTAATTCCTGCTTCCTAGAGGACTCCTATCTGGAGCTGCCCACCCAGAATAGTGTTTTCTCTGGTCGGTCTGCACCCCAACCCCACCCCACACCCCTGTTCTTGCCCGGGCAACCCCAAAGCAGCCACAGGGCACTTTCTGCGGTGCAGACCTGATCGTGGCGTCTTCTGGGTTAAAAAATCTCCCAAGGCTCTCCTTGGTACACCCAAAATAGCAAATCTCTCCTCTTGACATCCATGTTCCTACATCATTTGGACAATCCATCCAGCCCCCTTTTTACCTCCATTTATGTCCCCTCCCCCCAATTCCTGATGCTCCCTCCCACTACAAGTTTTCCTGAAACTTATCTTTTTTGCCCCCCTCCCTTTACACTGGTAGTTCCTTCGGTTACTGTTACCTCCTGGACTGTATTAAAATAATTCAGGGGTCCTTTTCTCAGAGAATCTTCCCTCTCTTGGGCTCCCCAAGACCTAGGCACCATCCTTTAGCAGCCTGACTGGTGCCCCGCCTGCCTCCTCTGTCATCAGACTGTGAGCCCCCAGTGGACAGGGCTGGGTCTAATGACCACCCTGCCTCCTGCAGGCCTTGCTAAAAGCTGGTGTGTGGAAGTGTTACAGAGTAGTTTGTATTTGTCTCACCTCTGAGGGACAGAGGTGTGAGGGCCAGAACAAGGTGAGGAGGCCGGGTTATTTTGGTATGACCAGCTGATATCCCAGAGCCGCCTGCGGGCTCCAGCTCTCTGTTTAGCTTACTGGCACCTCTGCTCCCAAAGAGACAATGTTCTCCCCCGTGGGATGGGATGGGATGGGATGGGGATGCTGGCGGCAGCTGACTTAGAGTGATGGCCTCAGGGAGGTGGCCTTGACTTTTCTGTGCCTCATTGCCAGGCAGGTCTGTGGCATTTGATCTCATAGGTGGGGATCTGCAGTCCTGGGTGTCCTCAGGCTGGTCATCCCTCCTCTCTGGGCCTCTGCTTCCCCACCTGTGGACTGAGGGAGTTAGAGAAGATGATCCCAATGTTTCTGTGAAGCCCTCTTTCAGGAAATGACTAGCCTTCCGCTTAGCTCTCAGACCATGTTTTTTTGGCTCTCGTGGCTCCCTTTTCCCACGCCTTTGTTCACATTTATTCAGTTTATAGTTATTAATCACTTGCTTTAAACCAGATATTGTGTGAGGTGCATGAGCAAGACCGATACCAGTTCCTTATGGAGCACACCTTGAAAAGTGAGAAACAGACTATGCACAAGTAAACAAAAGAATAAAAAAAGTAATTTCAGCCCAGCCAATGTGGCTCAGTGGTTGAGTGTCACGGTTCAATTCCAGGTCAGGGCACATGCCAGTGTTGTAGGCTTGATCCCCAGTGGGAGCTGTACAGGAGGCAGCTGATCAATGATTCTCTCTCATCGTTGATATTTCTATCTCTCTCCCTTCCTCTCTGAAATCAATAAAAATGTATATATATATTTTTTAAAAAAGTAATTTCACAGAGTGCGGGTATTTCATAAGACTTAGCCCTCACACCTTTCCTATGATCTCAGCCCCTCCTACAGCATTATTTATTCTTTCACCCAATTCCAGCCTCCATCCGTGACCTCATGCATAGGGCTCACCAGGCACATACCACAGCCCCTTTGTACTATGTAGGACACAGTTGAGACCCAACCCCTGCCATCTCCCAGGCTAGCCTGATATAGGTCTCTGGTCCTAAGAAGCTCCCAATCTCCAACATCCACTAGTTATGGAGCCTCCAAAGACAAGCTCAGTTATCCTACACATTTACTCTTTCTGACCCCCTACATAGCAAGTCTCAAGCTAGACTTCCTTCAAACTATAGCAACAACCACAGTTAAGATGTTGACAGTGCTTGCCCTATGCCATACACCGAATGTACGTCATCTAATTTAATCCTCACGTCAGCTGGAGGAGGTAGAAACTAAAAGTATTCCATTGTACAGATGAGGAAACAGATTCGGTGAGATTATAGGACGTGCCCAAGATCACATGCCAGAGATGGAACTTGCATTTCAACCTGGGTCACTGCACTGAGAACCTAGATGTATCAGCTTTCTATTGGTGCTTAACAAGTCATCCCAAAACAGAGTGGCTTAAGCCAACTATCATTATTTGCTTATTTGTATGGGTTGGCAGTTTGGACATGTCTCAACTAGGATAGCTCTTTGCTGCTGCACATGGTCTTGTCTGGGCTTACTCCTGCCCTTTTGGTCAACAAGTTGATAGGCTGGCTGGTCCTCTGTGGCCTCATTCATAGATCTGGCCACTGACTCCTCTGTGGCTGGAGTGCCTTGGTTCTTCATGTGACTTCTCCAGCAGCTAGCTCAGGCGTCCTTACAGGATGACCTCCAAAGGAAGAGAAGAAAAGCTGCAAGGACTCTCTTGAGGCCGAGACTCAGAAGTGCCATAGGATCAATTTTACTGCATTTAAAAAATTATTATTTTTTGTTTTGTTTTATTATTATTATTACTATTTTTAGTCTTTACTTAAGGAGTGAGGATATTGTTTTCATTGATTTTTTTTTTTTTTCAGGGAAGGTGGAGGAAGGGAGAGAGGAGATAGAGAGAAACATCAGTGTGAGAGAGACACATCAATTGGTTGCCTCCCACCGTCCTCCCCCCACCCAATTGGGGATGGGGATCAAACCTGCAACACAGGTACGTGCCCTTGAACAGGAATCAAACCCGAGACCCTTCGGTCCTTGGGCTGATGCCCTAATCACTGAACAACCCGGCTAGGGCTAAATTTCTGTTTTTAAGCCACCCAGTCTGTGATATCTTGCTCTGGCAGCCCAAGTAGATTAACACAGGAGTCCTCGTTGTAGAAATGGTTTTAAAGCCATGCAACTGGGTAAGATCTCCAAGGGAGTAAGCATAGACAGAGAAGAGAAGCGGACCAAGGACTGAGACTCCATCATTAAGAGATAAGAAACAAAGGAATCCAAGGAAGAGCATCTAGAGGTGTGTCCTAGGGACAAGGAAGGAAAAAAGCTCAAAGTGGGAGAGCTGGTGATCTGTGTCAAATGCTGCTGAGAGGTCAAGAATATGAGAATCTTGCCCCAGAAGGTTTGGCTCAGTGGATAGACGATAGAGCATTGACCTGTGGGTGGAAGGATCCCAAGTTTGATTCCAGTCAAGGGCACGTACTTCAGTTGCAGGATTCTCCCCGGCCCAGGCCATGGTCGGGGCGCATGCAGGAGGCAACCAGTCTGTGTTTCTCTCTGTCTTTTCCCTCTCTCTTCCACTTTTTCTAAAAATCAATGAGAAAATATCCTTGGGTGAGGATTAAAAATAAAAAAATATGAGAATCAAAATCTGAATTATCAAAGTGGAGGGCATTGTTGCTTTGATAGGAAAGAGTTTAAGAAGAATGGTGGAAGCAGAAACCTGATTGGAGTGGGGTTAAGAGAGAGTAGAAGATTTAAATACAGAAAGACAGAAAGGAAAAGGAAATCTCTTTCTAAGAGCAGAAAGTCACTTAATCTAGAAGAGTAAGAATTAGAAAATCACCATTTGGCAGGCACCATAGTAATAATTGTTTCAGTAGAGACTCATTCATAGATGCTTCAATCAATAGGAGATTAAACTTTGAGGGAAAACAGGGTATTTGCATAGTCTTAGAGTTCCCCTCACAAGATAGTTATTAATTATAAGAGGGAAAATGCTAACTTTATAGTGAAGAAACCCAGCAGATACATCAACCAACTGGTCAAAGGGAGAGTCACCATTAATGGGGCAAATTGACTTCATGTTCCTCCTGAGAAGGACACAGCATCCCTTTAGTGGTATTTCTGCCAGATATGCTTAATTGATTCATGAACCCAAATTGAAGGGTATTTAACAAAATAACCAGCTTATACTCTTCAAAAATGTCGAGATCATGGAAGACAAAGAATGACTGAGGAGCAGTCTAGATTAAGGAGATCAAAGAGGCCCTAACCGGTTGGCTCTGAGGGTAGAGCGTCAACCTTAGGACTAAAGGGTCCCAGGTTTAATTCCGGTCAAGGGCATGTTCCTTGGTTGCGGGTACATCCCCAGTGAGGGGTGTGCAGGGGGTAGCTGATCTATGTTTCTCTCTCATTGATGTTTCTAACTCTCTATCCCTCTCCCTTCCTCTCTGTAAAAAATCAATAAAATATATTAAAAGAAGAAGAAGAAGAAGACCAAAGAGACACAAGAACTGAATACAGTTTGAGATCCTGGACCAAGAAAAATTGGTCTTCACTGCCTTTAAAGGATAGTAGTAGAACAATCGGTGAAATTTGAGTAAGGTTTCTATATCAGATTATAATATTGTATCAGTGTAAAAATTCCCAATCTTGGTTATTGCAAGAAAATATCCTTGCTTTTAGGAAATACATATTGGTTTTTAGGGATATAGGGACTTACGTCTACAACTTACTCTGTAGGAATTCAGGAGGAGGGAAAGAAAAAG